TCTAAATGCTTGAAAAATTATGTATATGAAAGTTAAAATTATATTTTGGGATATGGCACAAATATCCGCCTAGACTATGATTGAAATCTCAGCAAGAACTAGGGGAAATGATATAATATAAATAATATTAAAATAATTTTAAATTACATAATTAAAGTGCTATTTTTTTTATAAAAAAAAAATTAGTAATTCGGATGGAAGTAGGAACTTTTCAATAATATATTTTTGGATGTTATATTATATTAAAAAATAATTACAAATAATAAAGAATGATATCATAAGAATAATATTAAAATAATCAAAAAGTGAAATAGAGAGTTGGAGAACTACTATTCACCCCTCTATAAATGGAGTATAAAGAGTAATATGGAGAGGGGTTGGAAATGACATTCTCTATTTCTCTTCGAATATAGAAAATGGAGAGTAAAATAGAGATGAATTGAAAATGGTAAAAACTTAAGATAGTCAACCAATAAAATAATATAATCTATTTTTTTTATTTTATACTTAATAAAATAGTTTATGCTTCACAAATATTCACAACTTATATTATACCATAGTTTCATTTTTTAAAATTCAGTACATGATAAATTACCCCATATATTGAAACAGGAGGACTTTAAGTTTGCTACTACTGAAAAATGGGTATAAAGAATTTTGGACCACTCAAATTTTGGATCAATTTTTTGTTTAGTCTTTTTACCCTTTTCTTGAGCAGCTTAAGAAATAAAAATAGCCAGTAAAGATTTTTTAATTAAAAATAAAAGAATTGGTCTCCATTCTATCTCTCCCCTCTCTTCCTTTTCCATTAGATACCAATAAAAAATGTAAAGTTCAAGTGAGATTTATTATAGGTAGAAGGGAAAATCTTGTTATAATTCTACAATTCAGCTTTCAAGCAAATCATCAATGGGTTCACTTACTATAAACAACTTCTTGAAGTTCACTTCTATTGCCACTCCCTGTAAGTACTTTTTCTTTCTTGGAATATGGTGAAATCTTCCTCAACCTCTCCATGTCCAATAGTATTTCTTCTGTCCCAATTTATGTGATGTAGTATGAGTTGACAAAAAAAAAAGAATTTTGAAATTTATGAACTATGATAAATTACGGATATTTGTGTGGCTATAAATAAGACCATTAAGGATAAAACATTTTAAAGTTAAATTATTAGTCCCTCCATTTTTATTTATATGTGACCATTTTAGATTTTACGTCCCTTACGAAACTAAGTAAGTTTACTATTGTAGTCTTATTTAATGTTTTCTTGAAGTTGAGTTTTCAATAACTGAACATAAATTAATTTATTTGGATTAATTAAATTGACCAATGAACATAGGTTTTTTAGTTTTTCAATGTTGGTCAAATTTCATACTCTCAAGGATAAAACAGGAGAATAGTGTTATTTATGAATGTTGGTCAACTTTCATACTTTCAAGGATAAAACAGGAAGAATAGTGTTATTTATATATTGATTTTGTGCAATGACAAGCACTCGCTGTTCATTTTTACTTGACACACTCATTAAGAAAATAATTATTGATATATGTATTTTACCACATTATTCCTATTAAGTGATGTTTAGTATTAGGTCTTGGAAAATAATTTAGAGAATAAGTATTTAATGCTGAGGGTAAAACATGAAAAAAATAATTGTCTTTTTTTGATATATCAAAAGTGACAAGTAAAATTGAAAATATATTTTAGGAATAAGTGACAAGGAAAAGTGAATGGAGGAGTATTAAGGATCATATGTTTTTAGCAAGATCGACATATAAACAGGAACGGAGAGAGTATTATATATAGAAATGTGTCATTTTGGGATGGACTAAAAAGGAAAGTGAATCGTAATCAAAGGTGCTGAGCAGTTTCTGTTTTTATTTGGTTCATTTCTGTGCTTTACCTTTATAAATATTGCTGATGTTCTATCAGGTAGGAAGTTTGGTGATCCCAACTGTTCACCAAGGTCTGTACCCCCTATATTGTGCTATGTAAGTTCTAAAAAGCATGAATTTGTGGTTCACTTGAACTCGGGGTTAATTTCACGTATGGTCACAAAACATTATACAACTATTTTTTGTCACATTAAAGTAACTGAATATTTCCCACTAATAACAGCTATAGTGACTAAAGTTTCAACTAAAGATAGTATGTGACTTTACTATTATAGTTGGTAAAGTTTAGTGATCATACGTGAAATTAACCCCTTGAGCTGATGTTAAGAATTGCTGACTATGTTAACTACTCATAAGTACAGGGGTTTAAAGCCAATGTAAGGGCATTTGCAAGTCAAAAATCGGTAAAGAAATCGAGAAAAAAAGGGAAAACAGAGAAAACGGATACTGCAATACCCGATAAGTATCTGTTAAGTGATGATGTTAATCCAGATTATGTTGAAGATAGCAAGAATGCATCTCCTCTTGACACTTCCGAGGCTGGGACTTCTGTACCGATGATCCCATCTAGAGGTTCTGTGCTTAAGGCATGCATAATCACTTCTGGTTTAATAGGTCTTCTAGGCATTGTAATTAGAGAGGTAAACTTTCTCTCTCAGCTCAAAGATGTTACTTACTGTAAATTGTTCAAAGTTTTCTCATGAACTTGAGCGTGTTACTGTTTTTGAATGACACAAATATAGTGATATGCTTACACTTCAGAGTGATGTGTTTGTATGGTGAATTGGACTAAGACTTATGCTTCAACTTAGATTGATTACTTCTTCTATGCGAACTCATAGATTGGTTAAGTCCATGAAAAGGAAGTAACCCTCTTATTGTGTATTTGGCTGTTTTGCAGGGCTCTCATGTTGCATCAGCAGGAGGATTGCCATTTGTTGACTGTTCTGTCGAAATACCATGTAAACCTTAGAAGCTTTCTTCTTCATTCAGTAGTTTTGAAATTTCTTTAAAAATTAATTTCCAACCCCCCTCCCCCGGGATGAACACACCAATTTTCTAGAATTTGTCACGAGTATAACGTAGCTTGAGAGGAAGTGTATATGGGATTGCAAACCACATTCCTATTACACCATGGAAAATTCTGTCTTTGCAATGGTGAACCTCAACTGTTTTCAAAGCAAAGAAAAGCTATTTTCGACTTTTCATTTCTGATGAGTCTCATCAGTTATAGCATAAAGGTCTTAGTGCTGATAGCTCTCTCTACAGTGACTTTCCAGATGTGGCATCTTGTGTTGATTACTGGATTGGTCATACTGGTATCCTCTTGTCGGTACTTATTGCTGAAGATATGGCCAGATTTTGCTGAGTCTAGTGAAGCAGCAAATAGCCAGGTACGTATTCGAGCTTTTGCCTTGTTACATACATACTTTCTTTGGTTGGATCAAAGGGCTATTTTCTGTTAAACATTCTGAAGAAAAACAAGTTCCATTTCAGGTCTTGAGTTCACTTGAACCTTTGGATTACATAGTAGTATCACTTCTTCCAGGCATTAGTGAGGTACGGGTAGAAGTTTTTGATGTGTTTCTCACATATGTTACTTGTTGGAACTGCTAAATGAGTTGTTCATTTTAAATTTCAGAACTGATTACAAGCTTGTATGGGTATCTCAATGACGCAGGAGGTTCTCTTCCGTGGTGCATTGCTACCACTTTTTGGCATCAATTGGCAGAGTGTAGTGGCAACTGCTTCCATATTTGGGATCTTACACTTGGGCAGTGGTCGGAAATACTCCTTTGCTGTCTGGTATATGTTCAAACTGTGGTGTTTTCCGTAGTTAATCAATCATTGTCTGTTATTGTGATTGTGACATGAAACATCAACTGTGATGCTCAGGAAGAGTACTGAGACTGAAACATTACGACTATTCTAATTTCAGGGCCACATTTGTTGGAATTATGTATGGTTATGCTACAATTTTATCATCAACTGTTGTTGTGCCAATGGCTGCTCATGCTGTAAATAATCTAGTAGGAGGCATCATATGGCGCTACACATCAAATTCCTCAAAATAGATTGGTAATTCCTTCTCTTGTTTGAATATTAGCAATTTTCTAAAGTGGAAATGCTATTAATATATATGTTTATAATTGATCTTATTACCATGTGAACATATTAAACAGAACATGTCCAACAATATCAGCTTCTATTTCTTGATTTTGCATGGTGAAGCTATATGTGTTACAAGTATTTTCTCTTTTTCATTGTAGCTTTCAAAATTTTGACATTTTATGAATGAATCTGTATTTGCAGCATGCAGGAACAAATGTCAAGTAGCCCTGCTGTAATCGCAACTAGTGTTGTTCTGAAGACTGGTAGATTCACAAGTTAAAGAGTCATTTGGAATTCCTTTTTTTTCAACTTATTAGCATGGGATATCTTATTTTCTAATATATATATGTTATTTCGAAGTTATTTATTAGTATTGAACAAACTAATATTGACAACAACAAAAAAATCTTCTGCCAGTATTATGAGCTCCAATCTATTAGCATTATCAGGTATTTCACTAACAAATTGTTTAAAATATCTACACCATTACGATTTACGACTAAAATTGATTAAAAGACAATACTTATATGTTAAAAAAATTGTGAACTTGTGTTTTGGGAAGCTTCACCATATCAAATTGCTATTTTGCACAAGACACAGGAGGGGGTGAATTGATTTGTGTCAAATTTTTGCCATTTCCTGAATTTTGTCCAACATATATTTCAATACATGTTTCTTGTGAAATCACCAAAAAAAAACTGTCAAGTGCAGAATAAAGTACAGAAGACAAGATTTTTACGTGAAATATCACACAGCTCAAAGATATAACTCTAGCTTGAAGCAAAATGTTTCTCAACCAAACAACCTACAAAAGCTTCTAAATAAGCATATTACGTTAGAGCTCGATAGGTTTACTATAATGGACTCAAACCCAATGATGGAAACATTCGAAGTCAAAAGTCAGAACTTGTTTAGAAACGCCGCCACATTGGGAACAAATTCATTATGACAGTGTTTGGGAATCAATAAGTTAGAGAGCGTAGAATAAAATACTAAAGAAAAGGAATGAGTTTATTGTGTATTGTACTAGACAGTAAATCAAAACCTAGCCTAAGCAGAGACGTATGCATTCATTCAACTCTAGTACAGCTATTGGCTAATGGAACAACTATCCAACATTCTCTGAATCCCTAAAACTGTGATTGCAGAGAATCTAACTTGCTGAGACCTTATAACCATATACATTTAGGCACTGAGCCAGGTCAAAAGAGGAAGAAAAAATTATAACAATATGTAATGTACAACTGCAAAAGAATCAATTATCGGAATCATCACAATATGGTGCCTAATAACCAAATATGAAGGAACAAACAATAAGCAATAAGACTTAGCCTGCCCCTTGGATGACTCATCAAAGCTCGACTCGAAGATACCCTGAATAAAATTGGAAATCAAGTATTAGATTGACAAGCCAAGCACAACTCCCTCCCTGCACCCACAAATATGCATCTGCATCTATCCCAAGTAAGTTTGGGTTGGCAACCATGTTGTTCCATTTCAACTCATATCATACCAAATATTAAACACACACCCAAAAAAAAAAAAAAAAAGAACTAGAAATTCTCTACAGTTTCTACAGGCATGTTTAAGTCTACCATATAAATCTTGGACAGAACCCTCTCCCTACACAAAACAACAACATACCACCCTCTACCTACACCACTCTCCAAAAAATCATGTCAGTAACAGATGGTGGAGATTGTTAGACTTGGAATTGGTAAAGTGAAAATCATGGTACAAGGAATGAGAACCTAGCAAGATAGCATCACTATTTTCATTATTGCAAGAATCAACAATGCTTGACCTGAATCTAATGTCTATATTTTGATCGGCAAATGTTATTCCTAGACTTTAAGAAATGCAGCAGAAAATTTGTAATTTCATCCAAAAAAATCAATAAGAAGCTGGCTAGAGAGAAGCTCTAAGATATTACCAAATTCCATCAATTCTATCCGCAATCATCTTCCCTTGCCCTGGAACAAGACCTGAAGTATTGAGTGACTTGAATGCATGACCTGCAAGACAGAAACAAATTTTTAAGTTTGCTAAACATTACATTTCTCTTCCAAAATTTTCAAAGATTTGTATCTAACATCTATACCTTTTTCTTGGTCAGCTTCCTCGTCATTTATCAACCGTTCAGATTCAGAATCTATATTTATTGCAAGTTGATCTGCAGATCCCTTCCGCAAAGTTCGGACATGAGCAGCTGATGCAACTGAAGAAGAGGCTAAATTCTTACTAACTGGTACCTGCAACAAGAAGAATGTAGCAGGTTAGACTGCTTTGCACAAACATTTTCTTCCCAGTTTATAGAAAAAATGTTATGTCAGAACACTAAAAGGGGAGCCTAGTCTATGAAGTATCTCATGTTCACACATGGACCTGTGAAGGCCTGACCCCAACGGGTTGTAATATATACAGACAGTCTACCCTAACGCAAGCATCAGTTTTTTATTACACGGCTCTAACCCCTGACGTATAGGTCACATGAAGACAACTTTTACTGTTGCTCTAAGCCTCCCCTTCACAAGTCAACACTTTTGTTTGTAAAATACAAGCATATATCATTTTTACAATAGTATATTGATACTGAGAGGTTAAAGAAATTATATCAGATTCTACCATCACCACAGCTACTTTGAGAGGAAAGGCAACCACTCAATGCTTGAGAGCTCCTTGAGTAATGACCAAAAGAGAGAAGTTTGCATTGGAAAATAAACGCAAGTGGCTTAGGCAGTGAGATTTCTGTTGGATACACCAATGTTACCTAACATGTGGTCTGCTTCGGTTCATTTTAAGAAAAACAAGTTTAAAGTTCACTATTTAACCGAAAATATCATTCATTAAAGGTTCTTTAGGTCTTCCATCAATGTACATTAAGAAACCTTGATTAGGTTTTTAAATATTAAGTAAGAGAATTTTAACGTCATATTAAATACTATTTTTTATACTTCTAAATTGCAATAGAGAAGGCTCCAAATAAATACAGAATCATTTCTAGAACAGCAGGATGCTATTCACGGATCACCAGGGATTAGTAAATCAAGGTAACTGTAGGGCACACATACATATAATGCATAAGCAAAGACACAAATTGCACATATGTTAAACTCACTTCCTCTATTCCAACTTTTACTCATGATCAAGACCTATATCAACAGAAATATTGTCACTTTCTTACACATAAGTGAAGCAGAGGGATGTTATTGAAGGTATCTGATGACCATATCATTTTGGACAGGTCAAAACAAGCAGTCTCAAAGGCACAAACACGAAATCTTCAGAATGCATAAGCAACATAGATGATTCATATCTCCCCACCTTAACTTATATGAGATGGAGAAAATTAGGTCATGGCCGTGCTAAAGAGGTTACTTGGTCAGTAGAAAATGACACATCAAAATATCTTGATGGCCAAAAGGTCAATTAAATTGGTTGCAATTTCGTAACCTTGTCTCAGGGATGCCACTTGGGCATTTCATGGTGGCCAAAGTAAATCACGTTATTTGCATACTTAGTGTGATTATAGCTTTTAAGCGTTTTCTAATTTATTTTGCATTACATTATATATCACCAATAATTTACTATATCTTGTCATTCAGTTTTTTCCAATAGGAACCAAATTCTTTTGACAGGTTTTCCAACTTAAAAGAACAAAGGAATTAAAGCGTTGCTTGATTATTATGCATTTGTCAAAAGATCTTTTTTAATCAATTTTTCAAAAAACCTTTAGTCTCAGCCTCTTTAGGTATACTCGAGCAGATGTATCCTTGGAGAAAAAGATTAAAAGGGCAAGCCAACTAAAAGATGGCATTACTAAGTAATAACACATAACTGACCAGCAATGGACGTGAAAAATATTGAAAGAAGGCAATGTAATGACTTATACTGAAAAAGGAATGCAATGTACTGCAATCAAAATTACCACATCTTGAACTTCAGATATCTCTGACTGAGTAGGCAAGGACGCTGCTTCGAAGATGCTTCTTTCCTGGTTGATCTCTAGTGGTGTAACCTTAAGTTGATTAGAATTTTCAAGTGACTTAACCTTACTTGACAAGTCCTCAACAACCTTTTGGGTACCATGTAAGTCAGCAAGCAGTTCCTCTGTTTTGGCTTTCAAATTTTCAGATTCCAAGACTTTAGCAACAATCAGATTATCAAGCACTGGTAAAAACCCTGTCACTGGAGTCTCTTTATGGAGGTCAACCAAATTATTGCCCCCCAGCTTATGTATAATATTTTCTAAACCAATTGTGAATTCTAACAACTCATTCTTCATCTTTGCACAGTCCACCTCATCTCTCATGTGCTCTTCAACTTCATCCTTCAAACTCTCAATTTGCAGTGCCTGTTTCTCAAGGCTTGATTGTAATTCTTTTTTCTCACGAGACAGTGAGTTCATCTGGAGCTGTAATCTTGGGAAAGTATCAACTACATAAAAGAGACTCCTGACATCAGGTGAATCATAGGCCTCTGCATCTCCCACATCAGGTCCCATGAGTGTTTCAATCTCTTTTAGTTTATCAAAAAGAGATCTCATATGAGATGCTGAGAGGGTTAAGTTTTCAGCTTCTGAAAGAATAGTATCAAAACAGGCCATGAGAAAACTACTATAGTCACAGTCAACATTTTCATAATTTAAGGGGGGGGGACATAGTAAACACAATGTGTACCTTGAAAATTCAGTGAAGCATTGAGAGACAAAAGTTCAGCTTCTTTCTCCTTGATATTATCCTCTTTAGCCTGATAATCCTCTAATTTAAGCTTCATCTCATCGCAAAGATCATTCAACTCTTCTAGATTAGTCTCCAGATGGGAGATCCTCTCTTGGTGGGTCTCCTTTTCTTCCAAGACTTTCACACAAGTATTATTGCTTTCTTCCAATTTAACCTGCAAATCTTTGATAGTACCAACCATCACATCCATCACAGGTTTGAACTGTTCAGTAAGATGGTGGCTTTGTCTAGCTGCCAATAGCAGCTTCTCAGCAGTCCTTGCAGACTGGCTGCTATCAAGCTCCAAGTTATGATGTACTATAGCATCTTCACCAAAATTTGTTAATTGTTCAGGTGAGGTTTCCTTCAACTTTTCCAGGTCAAAGTTGGAGCCAAGTTCAGACAATCTATTTTGAGTTAAAGCCAGTTCACTAGTTGCATCCTTAAAAGCAGAAAGTAGAACTTTAAGATCCGTTTCCAACGATTGTATAATATTTTCCTGCGCTAGCCTACCAACTTCTGCATCTCTGACCTTTTGCTTAAGAGATTCTGTCAGTTCAATCACAGGTAGAGCTTTGCTTTTTGTCAACTCCAGTTTTCTAAGAATGGCTTTGATCAAATCATCCATCGATGCAGAGTAACATCCAATGTTCTCAGCAAGAATCTTGTTTCTCAATTCGAATCCATCCACAATTTTCCCAAGATGCAATGTGATATTGTCACCATCAGTTGCATTTGGTTCACCATTGGCTACTTCCTCCTTTAGAGCATCATTAACAACAGATACTGAAGGAATTGAGAAAGATGAGTCATCCTACAAAAAGAACATAGCAGAGAAGTAAGAGAGGGTACATCAAGAACATGCAGATCACCTGATCATATTACAAGTATAGGAAATATAAGTATATCCATACAGGCACAAGTTTTCCTATAAATAAGTCAACTTGATACCTACCATTTGTCAACTGCAAAATTCGGAAAAAAATCATTCTAATGACAGAACAAGCAAGCAAGGGACAAGTGCATGTGTAACTGATCCAAAACAGATAAGAATTAACATCAAAATGGTCTTTACAATTGGCCAGCAAGTTGTTCATTAATAAACAAAAAAGGCAAACAGGCAATCCACCAGCAAATGGAACAAGTAATAAGCTGAAAACGACAAACGATTTCATATATATATATATATATATATATATATATATATATTAAAATTGTTATTTTACAATTTAAGAGATGTATTATGAATGAACCATGATAATTAATCTGTCATAAAACAGAGATAAGGTGACCACAGCTATTTAGATAAATTCAAAATTCTTCAATTACTTCAGACATCAGAGATATTTCAGGTAGGTTATTTTTCTCACAAAAAAAAACCACACCATAACCCAATAAGAAAAAATCCAAGAAATCAACCACTCAAATAAACTTCTGAGCAGTAAGGTTGTAACTGGGAGGTGGAAGATTACTCAAAGAGAAAAGCAACAAGGAAAAAAGGAAGAGGAAGAAGAAGGTGTGATGAGGCTATAATTACCTTAGTAGGAGAATCTGGCAGCACTTCAGTATCTACTTCAGAAAAAGAATCCCAGATTTCTTTAAGAAGAAGATCCATGTCTTTTAGGCTCTCAAACTTTCCCTCAAAAAATTTTCGGAGAGAGGAAAACAGAATTTCATCTCTCAGAAGTAACTGAAGACGGCTAAGATGGGTAGAGAGCTCCAGAACTTTAGTTTCTACGCTGCCCTGTGATCCAGCCAACTCTTGCATGCAGGCATCTACCTTGGAAGTCAGAACTACAATTTCCTCTTCTGCATTCTTCTTTTCATTAACAAGATTGGAAATTTTGTTTCCTGAATCCAGCAAAGCATCTTCTAGCGACTTTATAGTCATGGAAGCATCACTTAGCTTACTGTTTTGGATATCAGCTTCCCCTTTGAGTTTGTTTATCTCGTTCTCTAGATCAGCTCTACCAACTAGTACCCTATTATTTTCCTCAGTAAACAGAGATATGTTTTTTTCTGCTTGAACTAGTGCGTCCTCAAGGGATTGTATAGTTTCAGTTGCCATTTTTAGTTTGTTGGTATGGAAAGAGAATTCCTCCTTGATTTTCTGTAGCTCAGACTCAGCAGCATCTTTACCAAGTAAAGCTTCTTCTTTCTCATTCTTTAGTACTAAAACATTCTTCTCTGCCAGGGACAAAGCATCCTCAATGGATTTTCTATCCACGAACACATTCTCAAACTCAACAGTTTTAGCAGAAGCTTCTTCCATTGCTTTCTCTAATTCTTTTTCAACTAATGCCTTAGCAGCTTCTAACTCATTTTTGTCCTCCAGGAGCTGTGAGATGTTGTTATCCGCAGCAGATAATGCATCTTCTAGGGATTTAATGGTTTTCTGGACCTCCAACAATTTGTTGGCTAAAGAACTGGCTTCATCTTTAACTTGCCCCAACTCCTGCTCCGCCTCCATCTTTGCAGTTTGGCTTTCACGTACGTATCCTGAAATCCATTTGACCTTTTCAATGGGATCTTGAAAACCCAAGTCAGCCGGAAGAACAATACCATCAAGTAATTCGATAACCTTTTGAAGCATGTTATTCCTTTCCACTAAGAACTGCTCTAGTTGATCCCTTTGATCCTTCATTGCAACAAGATCAGCTTCTAGTTGAGGGATACGGTCCATCTCAGCTGAGAGCTTATCAATCTGCAACTTGTGGTCATTAGATACAGATTCTTGCTGATGCAAATCTGACTTCAGCTTCTCAATTTCAGAACTCTTCTCATCCAATGCTCCTTTCAATTTTTCTCGTTCTTGGACAAGCCCCTTGCCTTTTTTTACTGCCATAGACAACTTTTCCCTAAGTAAGGAAACTTTGTCCTCATATTGTTCGAGATTCTTCTCCAGAGATTCCTTTTCTTCCTTTAAAGCACAAAGTTCCTCAGTAACCTTGACTGAATGGTTTGACAATCTATTCAACTCTGCTTTATCCGACATCTCTTCTGTAAGTATTTGACCATATAGCCTCAATTCTAGATCCCTAATGTACAAATTACTCTGCATCTGTTCAAAGGACTCGAATTGATGACTATGGGCTTCAACAGAGGCACTACTTTCTTCTTTTATATTTTCAACACATTTCTTAATGAGTACGGTCATGTCAGATTGGCTTTGATAGACCAATTCTTGATCATACGTGTTGATCTTAGAAGCCTCTAGCAGCACACTGATGATTCTATCCTTATCCATTGAAGCCTGATGCTCTTTCTGGGCAACCAATGCATATTTATGATTTAAATCCTCCAATTCCTCTTGAAGATAGTTTTTATCCTGTGCTTCTCCCACGAGAAAAGCAGTAAGCTGACCAATCTCATTATTTGCAGCCTCTTTTGCTGCTCCCATCTGCTCATGTAATATTCTTACATCTTCCTTAGCCAGATTTAATGATTCCAGGAGCCAAGCAACCTGCGCATCAGGTCCATTTGATTGTACGGGCTGGGGGAAATCAAATGATGACAAGGAATCTGCCACTCTTTGGAGTTGTAAAGACGTCTCATTCAATGCATTCATCTCATCTGCAAGCCACTTGACTTTCTCAATTGTATCTGTTGACTGAAATTGCTCACTTCCACTGGCCTTGGACAATATTTCTTCACATTTTTGAAGTATCATCTCCTTTTGAATGAGAGCTTCCTGCAGTGAAGCAGCTAAACTTTCGCTTCTCCCCAGTAAATCCTTGGTTTGTTCCACAGCTTCAAGACTATTCGTCTTCTCTTGCAACTCAATTTGATACCTCTGCAGCTCACTAGCTTTCTCAGACAGTGACTTCTTCAAAGCATCACGCTGCTGAACTAGCGCCTTTCCTTTTGTCACAGCCAAGCTAAGCTTCTCTTTTGTATTAGCATACCTTGTTCTCTCCTGTTCAATTTCAGCACCCAGCTTTATTATTTCAGCATTTGCATTCTCAACCATCAATTTATGTTTATTAAGTTCCTCAGACAGTTTCCCATTTTCATCACTTAAAAAGCTCAGATGTTGGTTTAGATTCAACTCTCTTGTTCTAAATTCAGCCAATGTATCACGTGCAACCACCAACACCCCCATTTCATCCTGCATATTATGGTCTGGTGCAACTTCAGTTAAGCTCCATCTAAGTTGGTTAACTTCGGAAAGGAAAACGTTATACTTCTCAGCTAAAACTGAGATCATATTCTTGACATGAAGCATTTTTCCTGTAACTGACTCATCAGAGAATTTTTCTAGAGGAACCGCTGAAGCAAGAGAAGCTAAGATCTCATTAGCAATCTCTGTCATATGATGCTCCTTTTCAAGTTGAACCACAGACAAGTGAGCAGAATTTTCTTGTTCTGAATTTGAATGAGAAAGAGCAACATCTCGTTCCATTGAAAACTCGGAAACCTTTGAATTGAGGGCATCAATTTCTTGATTCTTCATATGTATCAGGTCATTAAGTTCTCTGATTTTGCTCTCAGTCTGAACACGCTCATCCAGAACCTCTTTAAGAAACTTGGAGACATCTGTTACCACCTCATGCAATGAGACACCAGAGGCCAAATCCCCGACTCCTGCTTCACTATGGTGAAGATTCTCAACTAACTCACCGTCATCCTTACTTGGTAGTGACCGAGTATCAATCAGACCCTTGAATAGATTGGTTAGGCAAGTGAGTTCATACGTAGATGCTGCTCTTTCTTCCTGCACATAGAGCCAGAGTTGAGCAAATAAATATCATTGAATATAGCAGTATTTATGGGAAACTACCTTAAATAAAACCACCAACCTCAGCTTCTCGAGCAATCCGATCTTTTTCAGCAATACTGTCATTTAGCATTTTGCGCAATTGTTCTACCTCGGCTTTCAAGTCCGGATCATGTGCTCCATTGCTCAATCCTTCCAGTTGACTATCATGTGCATCATTGCTCTCGTCTACATACTGAGGAGTTTCAGGACCTTCTATGTCATCAGGGCAATCAACAAACATGTCCTCCCTTCCCCCATCATCTGCCATTCTTGTATCTTTTGTATCATTCTCTACATACTCTGCTGCAGCCACTGAAATCCCACCTTTTAGATCCGCAGCATCCACCTGAAAAGATTTTGTCCAAGACAAGCTCTAAGGATATTCATTTACAAGACTAACATATGAGCTATCAAGTTACTAAAAAGTTATTGGAACAAACATGAAAACGATAAGACTATAGTCAGTTTTAAATACAGAAGAACCAACCAAGACTTTTCTTTAGATGCAAATTCCAGGCAAGCAAATATGACTGTAAAGTTTTACCCTGCCATTCCTTTACCTCAATATTTAGACACTTCAAGTAAAATGATTTCATATTCTCCGCCAAGTATTCTCTAATATATAGGAAGTAAGCATATAATTCAATTAAGAACCCAATGCCATTTGGGAGCAAGAAACAAAGCTATGGAGATATGGAGTGGAGTGATTGATGAATGTGAAAAAAGGCTTTCAAAATGGAAGGCTCAATCACTCTCTCTTGGGTGAAGGACAATTCTGATAAACAGCTTCTTGGATGCTCTACACACCTATGTTATGTTCCTGTTTTCACTACCAGCAAAGGCAGAAAAAAATTGGATTCATTAAGAAGAAACTTTTTGTGCAAGGATGGAAAGACACCAAAGTTTTAATCTAGTTAACTGGAAAGCAGTTATGTCCAGCAAAGAAGGAAAGTAATACCAGGGACTTCCTATTGGTACTGGAATGATATCAATACAGGAAATGGTGGAGGATGACCCCAGTTTGTATCTAGTGGACAGGGGCAGATCTATGTACAAGGGAGAGGGTTCCACACCACGCGGACGTCTTGGTTGAAATTTTGTATATATATGTTCCTGGATTGTCCTATGATCCAACCAAAGTGTATATTTGCATATATATGTATAAGCAAATGTATAAATATTAACCATGGCACCGAAAAGAAACAATGAGCCTTGTAGTGCTAGTGGTTAAAGCTCAAGTTTAATACCTTGGGGATCTTGCTAGTGGTTAAAGCTCAAGTTTAATACCTTGGGGATGCAAGATCGACCCAACAAAAAAACTGTGGATAAGAAGAATAGAACCCTAGACCACTTCTAACTAAAACCTTATCTAAATTAACTATACAAGTCTTCCTCTATGAATATTATGCTACATATGTTACTGTTCAAAGTAGGGTCGCAACCTGAGCTTCCAAATCCTAGATCCTGCTTCTTCTGGTGGATAACATGGACAGAAAGAAATAGGAGGTGCTTTGAGGGCAGATATAGTTGTATCCAAAGAATTAAGCTAAACTCTTTCCTGTCTTACAGATTCTGGTGTAAAGAGAATACTTTTTATGAAGCTATTTTAGATACATGAACAACTCTAGAAAACAATACTCAAGCAAAGTAGGGAAAAGTACACATTAAATCACCGACACATAAAAATCAACATAAAGCAAATATCCACCTGATTAATAGCAACTGGTTTTACAGAAACTGAAGCTTCCCCTCCATCTACAACCCCAAGTGAATCATCATTTCCATCATGATTTTCTGACATTGCATGCCCCAATCTCCCAAATCCAGCTTCAATTTACCTTCCAAGACACAAAATAGGGTTTCTGAAAAAAAAAAAAACATCAATCTTTATTGACACCCATATCAATATATGCCTAAAGAAGTGAAAAAAAAAAATCAATCTTTCTTGACACCCATATCAATATATGCCTCAAGAAGTGAAAACAATTCAATCTTTCTTGATACCCATATCAATACATGCCTCAAGAAGTGGAAAAAATTCAATCTTTCTTGACACCCATATCGATATATGCCTAAAGAAGTGGGAAAAAGTGAATTCTTTGTTGGTACCAGTACAGAAAAAGTAAATTGCAAATGAGAAAATGATAAGAAACCTAGAGAAATGAAATGAATCAAAATATATTTACCAAATGAATATTTTTGTTGGGTTTCGATATGATTAGAGTTGAAGAAGAAGAAGACGATGATGGTGTGTGTGGATCTTGGATTTTGTAGCTGTGCAAATCACGTGAACGATTGCAATTTTGTATTCTATATATGCCTTGAAGAGTTACTGTTTTCGACGTCGTTCTACGTCAAGAGCCGAAAGTGCCACTTGTTACTGGTTACTGTTACAACTTTACAAGTTGAGAAGATTGCCTTGGGCTTCCCAAACTAACTTGACTTTGGGAAAAGGATATATATATATATATATACTAGGGTGGGGAGGCCCGTGCTCCAATAGTAAAAATGTTATGGTTGTAAAAATATTGTAATATTAATGAATGAAGGGTCAGGGTGTTTGTAGAAGATAGATAATACGATCTATTATATTATGTACTATTAGAAATATTCAGAATATGTACAATAGACATACTAACTAATGTAATATAACCAAAATAATAATATAGTACATGTTGCAGTTTTGGTATATAAGATTAGCATGTCATTGTCTATGATATTGAGAGGACACTGCAGTTTGCTTGTCCATAGCTAATCTTGCTGATGCAAAAAACCAGAGCATAGGGAGAGTCATTCATTATATTGTCCCTAGCATAAGGAGAAGCGACAAAATGGTGTGTGGGAGTTCCTGTAATTAGGCAGTTTAAAGTATGTTAGAAAGTGCAAATATGACAACAGATAGCAAAGAAATTTTAATATAGGGAGCAATTACAAAGGAAAGCATGGAGTGAGTATAAAATGCATAGGTTTGTTGTTGAATCTGTGTGTGATTGGCTTAATTGTCTACGGTGAATGAGGTTAGCTAGTAGACAGAAACCTTGTTTCTATTGTTCCTATTGATAATTGTGTATTATAGTGTATGACATTATAAGAAAGCAGAATAAGAAAAATGTAGAAGAATGTATGCAGTGCAAGGTATGCAGAGAAACATGTAAATAGGCTTATATTGCAGTGTGAAATGACAAGCATTAACGCAAGAGCAAAGGGAGGGTACAATTTTATGCTATCAGAAAGACACAGCAGACAAAAGGATTTGTTTGACCGTCATTTATTTGAATGTCAGCAACATTATTCATAATAAAATGTCAAAAGTCTAATTCTGTTGTTTATAGTTGAAAGGTAATTTCATTGGATGTCAGTTGAGTTGCTGCAAGTAGTACAAATACGAAGGAGTAAAAAATTGGTGTCAGTGTGCAAAAGAGCTGCTGCTAAATGCAAAGCAATGAAATTGGTGAATTCTTGTAACTAAAATAAGCTAATTGAACAGTCAACATGAGAGGAGGAAGTATAAAGAAATTGTCAACCAATTGATTTGAGCATGGATATGAACATGGGTAGACTGTTTTTAGCCCGGAATTAATGTGAGAGTGTGCAATGTTATGTCAGACATAAAGAAAACCAAATTGTGAAATTTGAAAGCAGACAAGAGCAAGTGCAAAAGCAGTAGTATAACATAAGTATGACACTTACAATGTTTTACAGGAACTATGTGGATACGTGTATGAAAGAAAGTAAACTACAGCTAAAAGTACATATTTTTAGCAGCAATTGTTGGAGTAAAGGTAAATATGTGGAAGTCATAATCATTTTGAGGTATAGTTTGGGGTGAAAGTGAGACGTAGACTGACCTGTTACACCTTTTTGGTTGGTGTGGGTGATTCAAATTTTCCCAGTGCATTTGAAGGACCAGATGCAGCAGTTGTTGCCATCACTTCTACCTCACTTATTTCCAAAGGCTTTATCTTTTTAAAAGTCCTATCAGTAGCGCTCTCTGTAGTATGTTGTTTTTCCATGTAGGAAAGAATGGACAAAGTTGTAGTCGTGGTATTTGAGCTGCTCCAAGATGACTTCCTTAGCTGAATTTCGAATACTTTGCTTGACAGCATCTCATGGACATGATTAAGAGACAATGATTGTCGCTATAAATGTAACAAGTTAGAACAAATAGTTTAGAACAAAGCATATGTGGTCAAGTGTTTGTGCTGAAGATATATGGTATTATGACAATAAGAGTGTACAAGTAGGTAGTGGGAATAAGAGATAACCTTAGTGCAAGTTATGTCAAATATGTCTTCTGCTGTCATGGACAGTAATTTTTCTCCTAATTCAGCAGAGATAGATGTTGTGGTTGTAGCAGTATCGTCAATAAGATCAATTTGGAAGCTACAGCTGAAATGAGGAGAAGTTTGAAATATGTGTATAATATACGCTATATTTTGTAGAAAGTGTAACTTAGAAGTCACAAAAGTATAGTACCGAGGCACTAAGGATGTTTTCCGATTGCATTTTGGACATTCAAAATCCTTTCTATCCTTTGTTCGCTTCTTCTGTTTGCATCCTGAGCATTCAAGCACACAGAAGTCTTGGAACTCATCTAATATGGCCATCTCTGCTTGAACATAGAACACTCCCATCTGTGGGAAGTTTTGAGTATTTAGGCAAAGCTATAGAATGAGAAAATGAATAAGGATACTGTCAAATCAGCAGCTTCAAGTATGACTTACGGAAGGTGTTGATGAGATTTCTGCAATAGAGATAAGTTGTTGGCCATAAGGGGTGACTATCATGGGAGCAATAGATGAGCTTGTTGAGGTTGTATCTGATGGAGAAGTTAACAACAATGTTTTGTTTTCTTTTGCCCTATTGTTAGAGCAAATAATATGTTTAGTAGGCTCTTTACATGCGAAGTAAAGGTAAAGAATAAATATGAAATGTGAGTACCAGTTGAGGAGTGCAACTGCCTGGGGGTAATTTAGATTCACCCGTACTGTGGAATTGTACCTAGTCTGCAGTGACAGCCCTGTACAACACATAACTCGTATATTGTTTTGTTATAATATAAAATTATGTTGGTAAGAAGTTGAGCGCATACGTACCTTGATAAGTAGAGATTCATATACTTCTTCCAAGGATTACAAGTAGATCTGTCTCTGTTGCCATTTTTGAGGAAATTTCGTGTCCTTCTATTTCTCCGAAATCCTCTCATAAAGTGAAGAGGAACTGATTTTGCCTGAGAGTGCAGAACATAAGGACAAAAGAGTAAGGAGTATGATAATGCCTAGATAATAATTGATGATGTGAGTAGAGAAGTGCAAAAAGTGGTTACTTATTCAAAAATTTTGCAGAAAATGGGAAAGCAGAATGTCAAATGTTATACTTACTGATTGTCACAAAGGGTAATTTCTTGAAACCTATGATGACTGCGACCGGCGTTTTTTTGAGGACCATAACGAAGAACGACTGCCAGTACATCTGCGTATATAACACATAATGAAATGTTGCAAGTGTTGTGCAGTAGTGAAGATGTGTATTTCAGTCTGATAACAGCTAGGACGATTGATGTACCTATTTCAGCAGCAGAATCAACCATCAGATGAGGAATGCGGTCAAAGCTGGTGATATTCAGTTTGGTTGGCGGTGGAAGCGGCTTTTCAACTTCATTAGATGGTTTGATTTGTTCAATTACTGTTTCTTTGTCAAGAATTCAGTAAAATTGATGTATTGGTTTGCCGTATGAGGTTGGTGAGACTTTCACTCTTGCAGTAGAGATGAGGTATGTATTGAAGAGTTTAAGTGTAGCTGCATACTGCTCGATTTCATCAGTGTACATGACGGCCCTAATTTGGCATTCATGAAAGTAAGAGTTATAGAAAGTTGACATTAACTAAGTTGAGAGGAAAAGAGCAATAGCTATAACATAAAATATACTAATGAGGTGACCTGTTCATCTTCCAAAATTAAATTTTGGAATGTATATTTCTTGTCAAGGCTTTCTCGGGGGCGTCCTATTTCGACAATTTGAACTTTGCAAATCCAATCTCGTGTTGCTGGTTCTATTTGGTCGATGTTCAGTCTTAGTACCATGGTTGTAGGAAATATAGGTAACCAAATAGCAGTATATGCGGGATAACATGAATATTAATTCAAAGTAGTTGCGTTGTTGTGTGTTTATGAAGAGGGCTGATTAAATTAGGAAAAAATTAGTTAAATGAAAGCAGCAGTATGGAGTAAAATGGACCTTGTGGCTGCATAAATGAGCTTTTGATGTAGTAACAAAGCACTAACAAACTCTTATAACAGCAAGTTAGGACAAACACTGAAGCTAAAGTACAAACTCATAAAGGATGACATAGGATGTATCATACTATTTACGTTTGTTGCTATGTTGATCTGCTAACCATTTATGTGTTATTAGTTTTTTGTCAATGATGAGGTACAGCTGTACAATTGTAGAATGTGAAAGTAGGAGATTGATAATTAGATACAAAGAAAGCACCTACAGCCAAAATGACAAAACAAAGTATACTACTTAAGAGTTGTACCTCTTACTATTGGGTGGCATGAGATATAAACAGCGGAAACATAATAAACTTTGTATGTTCCAAAAAAAAACAAAGTGAAGAACAAATGAAAAAGAAAACAACAGTGTTGTCATAGTAGAAGTAGAGTGATGTGTAAATCTGTTAGGGTTGTTTAGTGGAGCTCAATGAAGACATAAAATCATTTGGCAGGCATTATTAATGTGCAAAGTACAATTGGACAAATCTTTTTTCACAGAAGATCTGTTACAGCGACAGAAAATATTGGACAATATGAAAAACTTTACTGAATCGAGTATGTGATGGCTTATGTATGACTTAGTATCATCGAAGATACAGTTTGTAGAAGAGACCTAATCTGTCACATTTATATCCAAAGGCAGCATTAAGTCTTACGAAAAATGTTTCCTATTTTTCATAGAAACTCAATTTTCATGTGACAATTTAAAATTTCAATAAAAAGAAACCAAAAAAAAAGATAAAAGAAAACAGCTATGCTGCAGATATTTTGATCATGTTGGGCATGAAGCTAAAAGCAAACTGTTGGACCTATGGTATATCTATGAAAGATTGAATGTAGCTAATAACTGTAATTTGTATCAATTTTTATTTTGTGTTTTGGTCAGAAGCAGAATCTGCAAGAAAAAAAGAAAATGGGAAGAGGGAAAAGATGAAAAGGGAAGAAATAATACCTGAGAAAGGGAGCAAAAATTTATCTTGAGTGAAAGGCTAGTAAATTTATGTTGTATGAG